TTCCCGTGGCCCCAAATGGTCTTGCTCCTACACCCATGGCCAATCCCATAGGCATTCCAATCCCCTTCCCAGCGCCGACGCCAGTGGTTATCAACGAGGATGGGAGTGCGACGACGAGCATTACGCAGCTGGTGGGTCCAATCACTGTAGTTGTATCGCCCGAGCGAGCGGTAATTGGAAATCAAATTGTGCCTATTGGAAGCTCGCCAGTGACTATCAGGGAAGGAGATTCTGTGTTTACCGTCAGTCCTAATCAAGTGGAGGGACCTCTGGTCAAGATCTTTGTCCCAAAAAAGGAAGATATGGTTCCGAAGACGACCCCCCTCACGCCAACGACCGTTCAGGGAGTTCCGATCCAGCTTGGCCCGTCTCGAGTGGTTATTGGCAGTGCAACGCTACCCCTCAAACCTGGAGCTAGACCGACAAAGGTCATAGTTGGAACGCAGACTATTATTGTAGGGCCTGCGGGGATAGGGTTCTTGCCGAGAAAAGGCTTTGGTGGCACAACCATCACCCCCCCGCCGAGTATTCCTACGAATGTAGTAGTCATCGGGGCAGAAGGCTTCTCAGCGATTGGAAGTACGTTGGTCGCTCTCGGGGACCGAACGATCACCTACGGCCCTGGAATCCCATCTCAGATGGTTGTCTATAACGGAGAAGTCATCACCATAAGGCCGGATGGCGTAGTATTTGACGGCAAGACGATTGGAGGGCCATTACACCCTATAGGAACACAGTACGCCCATGCTGGCGGGATATCGATCACTGAAATCGGGTCAACCTTGGCAGTCATCAACGGCAAGACGCTCACAATCGGACAAGGAGCAGCTTTGTTAACGACTGTAATCGGAGGTCAAATCTTCACCGTCGCACCCCAGGGTATAGGCATAGGCGGCCATATCCTTCAATTCCCCTTCAACCCCGTCACAAAAGCCGTCACTGCGGGAGGAATCACTTTCACACAAGTTGGAGATTCCATTGCTGTAATAGGTAGCAAGACGTTCACCTTTGGCCCTAAAGCTACTCCAGCTATTGTCAGTTACAACGGACAGCTTATTAACATTGGACCGGGAGGGATTGGATTTACTGGCACAACGATCCTTGGGCCAAAACCCACCACGACCGGAATTGGGTCGCTTACGACGACATCAACGCCATATAGGATTGGACCAACACCGACAGCGAGTACAGGGGATGATAAAGAGAACAACGCTGGGAAAACAGTACCTGTGTTTGGCTTGCTCGGGGTGTGCATGATCCTCAGTTTGCTCTGAATGTGTCGGGGCGTTTGAGTTGAGTTGGATACGAACGGATATGAACGGATAGCTATATATACCCCGGTGCATGTTGGATAGATTGATCAATGATTTATGATTAGCGGGAAACGAACGGTAGTAATATAATGGCATAATGTAGAGATCATAGAAATGAACCGATATTAAGGTCAAAAGTCGCAAGACCTGTTTTAACGTGATCAATATCCCCGATATCATATCTTGAATTGAGAGACACTAACATCGGATACAAGATATATTCTCAACTCGATACATCGTTCTTTTTTATCATTTTGATTTTGTGGTTCGCAATTCGTCTTTGATCTTACGGAGGTACAAAGAAGTATCACCGTTCAAATCATACCCATGTTGGTGACCACGCTAAACCAGATCAAGCGCATGTCCACTTTTTTCACGACGAAGCATCTTCCCCCGTCACCGCGATCAGAGAAGTCTCCCTTTCTGTCTCCACCGACCACACACAACGTCTCGCAGCCACCGCAACCCATTTCCAAAATTCAAACTCAATCACAGACTGTCCCAGAAACACCTGGCTCAGTCAATTTGCTCAACCCGAGTCCTCCCCACCCATTTATATGCAGCCAGACCCTACAGAACCTTCACCATATACCCCAACATTTCACGCCTCCGAGTCAACCTCCATCTCCCAATATGGCATCCACCATCTACCTGAGCCTCCCGCAGTCCTGGGCGACTCGCGCGATGTCCATGCGTTATCCTCGAGTTCCGGCGGCGCCGTTGAGGACGCGGGTGTGCAGGAGCAGTTGCGAAGATTGAGCGTGTCGGCGCAGGATGAGAACCGTCCGAAAGCTTCCTTCCAGCAGATTTCAGAGTATGAGAATGCCTTGTCGCCTTCGCCTGCGAGGAAAGAGAACGAGGGGCCTGTGTTTAAGATCGTGAAGAAGAAGGGCAACAAGGCTGATAGTATACTGCTTGAGAACTTCCCTAATGGTATGGCTCTCCGCACACTCCTCGCCCGGACCAGACATCTAAATCCCACCAGAGGTCCTCACCCACATTCTGTCCCATCTTCCAGCGAACTCGCTCTCTGCCGTCTCACTTGTCTCCCGCACTTTCTACAATCTCGTTACTACCCCCCACGCGTGGCGGACAGCCTTTGCCCGTTTCTTCCCCGGACAAGATGCACTCGTTGCCCCACCCGTCACAAGTCGCCGCGGCTCCGACCTCGAAACCCGTGAACAGCTACGCTCAGAAACCCGCCTCTTCACTCGCCTGACAGCCCTCGCCTCCTGGCGTAGCGAATACATCCTCCGCACTCGTCTGCTCCGAAGTCTCGGCCGAGGAAAGCCAGCACAAATTGCTCCAGGCCACGGTAATTCATCACGATCGAACAGTGCAGCGAATAATTCAAATGCTGTGGTAACATATAGCTCTCAGTTGTTTGCTACTGTCAACCATATTCATGCTGTGTTTGGGAGCGGCAAGAAGAGCCCACGGTTCATTCATGGGACTGATGAGACCGGTTCAGCATGCACGAGTGATCCCAACATTGGCAGGATTGACAACTGGGGGATTTCGGATCCGCAAGCGTTACCACAGTTCTCCGAGCTGTTTGTTGGGGATCAGCCCTATGGAGATGGAGATGGACCCGCCGGACTGCCAAATTCGATGGATGTCAGCCAGCCCTTTGGTATGGTCTACGGAGAGGGGTTTCCCGGTGGACAGGCCTACTTTCGTTCATCGGACGAAATGCGAGGTCGATTCCTCGGCCAGTTAAGTGAGATGGCGATCCCAGATGCTGGTATTCCCGGCGTTCCAAGCCTCACAGAAGGCATTTCTGCGGTCTGGATTGCGAAGTCTACATTTGTTCCTCTCATGACTGATGGCTTGGTTGGTATCTTGACTGGGTCAACATTGGGCGTTGTTACTGCCTACTCTCTAGGCGCTGATACCCCATCCGGACGACGCATTCCAAGAGGCAAAATTACTGCGAAATGGGTTCTGAGTCCAGGTGTTCCAATCATTGGCATCAAAGTAGACGAGTCTTATAACTCTAAGCGCAAAGCATTCGGACGTATTTGGGCAGTTGCTCTGAATGCGCTTGGCGAGGTGTTCTATATTACCGAAACTCCCATATCTGGTTTGACCGATGGTAAGGTTGCAGACAGCGACCCTGGTCGGCATGCCTGGATCACTGGTCGGACTGCCTACTGGAACCTCGCTGAGCCTTCTCGTCGTATTGCTCGTGAAGACCCTTATCGTGAAGCCGAGATTCATGGAAGCTACTCGCCAAGATCATCTTCAAAGAATCAACGCTTGTCCAAGGCACAGATAGTTGCCGAGACAAACGAAATCGAGAAGTTCATGGCTTATCGCCCAGTCCACTTCCGTAAGCTTTGTGAGGGCTGGGATATGCGTCGGATACTCGAAGTTGACTTCGCAGGTGATGATGGTCACGGGGCTGGAGAAGGCATTTTCATCATAAAACGTGGACTTGTCGAGGGCGAAGAGGCCGAGGTCCGCAGGCTCACTAGATGGAAGTCGGAGCAAGCTTCTCTTGATGAGTATCCTTTGCCAAGGACACCTCCAATGGCTTCAAGAACCGCCACCATGGCTTCATTGTTTGGTGGCGGAACCGTGATCAGCCCTCCTCGAGCCTCGTCCCCTGAGCGCTCCCAGCGAGCTTCCATATTCGGTGGTGGCAGCATCATCAATCCAGCTAGGATGTCATCTCCGGAACCAAACACCCAAGGCGGCCCAGCCAAGGCGTCTTCATCTGCTATGGTTGAAGAATGGCGATGCTCGGACTTGTCCTTGAAAGAGCATCCGAACATCGAGATCACGACGAGCGGGATCGATATGTCTACGTTTGCATTGCTGACTGTTCAGGAAGACCCGTTGTGCACTGTCGATGGGACTTCTAACCTCTCATCTCCTTTCGCTACTCCCTCAGATGCAGGTACTCCTTCTTCGACTAATATTCCGGGCCACAGAGCTCGATTTCTAGCAGTTGGAACAAAGAATGGCAGTGTCATAATGTGGAATATGCGTGGTCCTCAGTCTACTAACCCCGGCCTCACCAACGAGCTGCACCCATTGCGCACAATCTACACTGACTCGCCTCAAATATCCTGCCTTGCAGTGTCTGCTCTGTATCTCATCCACGGTGGTAACGATGGCCTGGTCCAGACTTGGGATCCACTAGCGTCATCGCCCCAACCTCTTCGAACACTCAATTCACGATTCTCATCTCGTGCTCGTCGCCGGCTAGTCCAAGCTGAGGCGTCGGCCTTGGGCGTCGGTATCAATCTCTATGCTGCTGGAGCTATCGCGATCGATCCAGACCCAACCGTTCTTCGCGGCATGGTGTCGCTAGGTACCCATCTTCGTTATTGGTCCTACAGCTCCTCCGCAGCAGACCAATATCAGAGTAAAAAACGTCGCCTCCGTCGCTCGAACGAGCGCGGTAGCAATAGTACCTCAGACCGCTTTAGCAGCACCGGCCGCGGTGCTCTTATGGACTATATTACTACCGAGCAAGACGAATTGAAGATAGAGAAGCTCCGTCGCTCCCGCGAAGAAGCCCGTCTCCAAGCTCGCTTTGGCGTTGGTCTCGGCGGCTTGTCAGAAGACGAGGCACTGAAGTATGCAGAAATGGTCTCAGCAGAAGCTTTCCAGAAGGAAGAGGAAGAGCGCCGATACAACGAGTCCAGATCTCTAGATGAATTTGACGAGAGCTCTACCTCGCAATCGTTTGCACGGAGCAGTAGCGAAACTGTGACACCTGAAGGCAGCATTGTGGGGCGCGCTGGTCTGTCCTCGCCTCCAAAGTACCAGCCGAAGACCGATGATGAATACGAAAACGACCTCGAGGAAGCAATTCGCCTCTCTCTGCTCGATGGCGTCGACGAAGGTGGGCGGTCCCCTAGAGAATATGGTGCGGGCGGATATGAGGTTCCAATTACATACAAGCAGTTTAAGAAAAGCAGACGCTCTGCTTCTAGTTCGCCGTCGACGTCCCAGAAACCGCGGAGTAGGAAGAATGGCAGTGGACAAGAAATTGAGGTTGATGATCTGAATTTCGCACTCCAGTTGAGTCTGGCTGAGGAGAGGAGCAGGTTGGAAAGTGCTGCTGTGAAGGGCGGACAGGCTGACCTGTTCCCAGCGCTGGAGCAGGTGGCGGTCAAGGCGAAGGGGAAGGGCCGCGCCGTTTGACCTTGGGGGAGAGTTTGCGTGGGAGCGGGTGTTTGCAGTGAGCGATTGTGCTTCTGAATTTGAAAGGGCGGTTTGATGACTGGATGGTCGAGTTGGAAAAGACGCGCGCCCTCTGCTTGTTCATGCGCGCTCCGACGGCGAGCCTCGTTGATGTTTGCATTATTTTCTTTTCTGCCCCTTGATAACGTTCTTGGCCTCCTTGCTTTTCTTAGCTAGATAGATAGCTAGCTAGACCTCCGGAGATGTTTCGCTTCTAATATTTCAATGCTAGAAATTTCTGCTTTATTACCCGCTTATTCCATATTTGTTTTTTGATCTCTCCCGTACTTTTGGAAAGGATATCTTTGAGCTAGGTAGGCGGCAGGCTTTGATTTGGCATGGTACTTGATGTTTGATATCGCGCAGCGAGTCCTGCATATTATCCCATTACTTATCTTGTACCAAGCTCTCAACGTCGAAGAGAAATAATCTGATGTATATATCACTGGATCGATCATCATATCACATCACGAAGAAAAGTAAAGAGAGGATGGAAGAAAGGAAGAAATTGTGGGTGGGGGGAGGAGTGGGAAAGAAACTTTTCATCTTTCATCTCCTCCTCCACCGTCCGCTCTTCAGCCACGCCTTCTCCGGCAGCCTGATCAGGTCGAAGACGGTCGTCGTCGACGTCGTCGTCCTTCTTCTTCTCCCCTCCTCGAGCTCCTTCGGCGTCAAGGGCTTGACATTGTGGCCCCTCTCCCTCTGCCTCTCGTGGTGGCGGAGGAGGTTGATCTCCTCGAACGAGTCGAATGAGGAGGTGGAGGAGGAGGTGGTGGAGGGGTCTTGCTCCCGGGTGTAGAAGCTTTTTAGACTGAGGAGTCTGCTGCTGTTTCGGATGGGCGGGGTGGTGGTGGGCCAGAAGGGGTCTTGGTGTCTCTTGTCGTCTTGTTCTTGTTCTTCTTCTTTCTTGAAGAGGCCTGGGGCGTAGAAGCGGGCGTTGCGGGGGGTGATGCCGGGGGGTAGATGGTGGTGGTGGGTGGGGGTTGCCGGTTGTTTCTTGCGGTTGGTATTGGGATTGAGGCGGTGGTGGAAGAAGGGGTTTGGTGAGTGGGAGAGGGAGAGGGAGCGGGAGCGGGAGCGGGAGTGGGAGTGGGAGCGGCGGCGCTTGAGGAGGATGTACCAGAATAGCGTGCTGAAGAGGACGGCGACGGCGACGGCGACGAAGAGGGTTGTTAGGATGATGGCTTTCGCGGAGGGCGTGGCGCTCGAGGCGTCGGTCGAGGGGGCGCGGGAGACGAGACGGGGTTTGAGGAGGAGGAGGAGATGGCGAGGAGGAGGAGGAGGAGGAGGGGAGGGGGGGGGGGGAGGGAGGTTTTGGAAGGGGTGAGCCATGGAGAGGGCGGGTGCGAGAAGGAGGAGGAGAGGTAGGAGGCGGGATTGGCGGGTGGATGTGTGCATTTTTGGTGGGCTGATATGTCCAGCGAAACGAGATAAAAAAAACTGAACTGAAGGGGGTAGAAAGTCCAATATATAGAAGCCTGGCTGCTTGCTCGCAGACTCGTCGTCTGAGATACGAAATAGGCGAACTCACCAACCCACCTCCGCCGCACATGAACTCTTGCCCAGATATAATCATAGGGACGTCTGCAGCGGTGTGGTCCATCTCGCAGCGCCATAACGGGCTCTGGGTGACGAGGTCGAAGGCCTCTGATCGTGGCTGAGGTTGAAGTATTACGCGGATGGCCTGCGCGTGGGAGCGTGTTGTTATACGGTCTTGTGAAAGAGACGGGCTACCGGTGTATGTCACCTAAGTCACCTGATGCAGGTCGGTTCAACAAGATGGTGATCGAGAGAGGTGGGTGAAGCCTTTCCACCACCGTCCAGACTTGACATGAGGTTGGCTGTTCAAGAACCCAACTACGAGGTGCCAGGAGTCTAAGCGAGGAAAGGGCGAGATTCTACAATTTGGCAGAGTAGGTACCTACCGGTAGACAGAGGCCTATGTATGACGTCATCGTCATGCCCATATCAATGAATGTTTACTTAGCAAATTGCAAATGGATCGATCAACTGCGGCCGAGAGCAGCCGACCGCCGGCGATGCAACCGAGCCATTCTTCGTACGGCAGTGAGAAATCCAGCCCACGCCAACCCCAACCCCCGGAACCGGGAGAGTGGTGATTGGTCACGTGACCCAACTTCCACCACATTTTTCGCACCATAGTTCTACCTATCCGTATTGCCATATTGCCATACCATCCATATGACTTTCTTTACCTCCATACATTCTTCTCCCCAATCCGTCGTCCCCAGTCCGTTCCCATCCCTTCGCGGCTCGTGTGGCTGGTTGTATGTATGTATCGGGATTGGATTGCATTGGATTGCATTGCATTGGATTAGATACCGGTACGACAACTGATCAATCCGATTCACTCACTCACCCAGCCCCTTGTTCGCTCAGCCACGGCCACAGCCACGGCCACTCGAGCGAGGATTTGCGACGGCAACCCAAAAGCCCAAACTATCGTCAACACCAAGCCCAAGCCAGCCGCAACAATGACCTCCCGCGCCGGCCGCAGCTCTTCCATGAGCCAGGGCTCCATCCCGAACGGCAAGGCCTGTCGATTCTGCGCCCGCGAGTTTGCCAAAACCGAGCACCTGATCCGGCACGAGCGCTGCCATACCAAAGAGCGACCCTTCCAGTGCAGCATCTGCGGCAAGAACTATAGTCGAAAGTGAGTTGTTGTGGTCTTCTTGATTTTTCTCGCACCACGACAGATGAGGTTGCGCGCATGAGAGAGGGACGTCCTCCGTAGGTAGATATCGCCTCGATTTATACGGAGACTCATGCTCCACCCACTTTAGTGGCCCCCGAGGCCCCCGAGGCCCCCGTGGGCCCCCTTATAAACATTCCTTGCCCAAATGCCCCGCATCCCCACAGTCACGGGATGGTGGTGCGACGTCGACGAGGTAAGGTACCGGCAGCTTCGGTAGGTTCGGTAGGTTCGGCAGGCTCGGCAGGTTAGGTAAGGTATCCTCTGTACGGTACGGACATGCATAGAGAGGGGAACCGGAACCGGAACCGAGAGGGACCAAGGAGGAGGAGGAGTCCGGACCTCAGACCGCAGACCGCAGACCGCAGACCTCAGGAAAAACACCCATCGAACATCGAGGCTGACCGAACACAGTGACACCTTGATCCGCCATCGCAGAACCCACGGCAACAACACCACCACCGTGCCCCCCGATGTCTTCAGCAGCAATGATGCCGCGACAACCTCCGACGGCCTGGATGTCCCGGATACGCCCCAGAGAGAGAGAGCCACACCCAACAACTTGAGCCGGACCTCGACCTCCACGACCTCGACCTCCCATGTATCCCTATCCACTCCCCATCTTCATCCTCACCCTCAACCTCACCCTCACCCTCATCAAGGACATGCCCCCGTGGCCTCCATGACAGACACCGACTACCAGAGTCCTCCCATCTTTGACGGCCGGGCGCTGGACTTCGAGTCTCTGGAGAACCAGATGTTCGGCCATGACATGGTCTACCCCGTTTCCGACCTGGTCCCTGGTGGGTATCACAACGAAAATGGCACTGGCAGTGGCAGTGGCATGGACAGCATCAATATCAACATCACGGGAATGCCTCAGATAGACCCCGGTCTCGGTGGAGCCGAGAACCAGCTGCTGGACGGCAGCGCCAACTTGAACCTCTCCAGCTCTTTTCTTGATCCGGCCTTGAGTCAGTACCCTCAGCATGCAAGCATGGACGGCTTCCCTCCCATAGGCCTGAGCCATATGCCATATGTGCCTCCGCAAGTCGAACAATTTCAGTCCTGGCTGGTCACCCCGGACTTTGATTTGGCAGCTTTCAACAAATTGTTCGTTCCACCGACGGCCGCTGAGTTCCTAGGGGTGAAGAGTCCTCCCATTCCTCACCAGTGGAAAGACCACGAGATGCCTAGTCCTGAGATCAGTGGAAGTATGGTTTCTCTGCGAGAGCACTGGGACAGAGACCTGCTACCGAGTATCGATGTCTTGGTGCGTATCCATCCCAATCCCTGGCCACCATTAATGCTAACAGCATAGAACATCGCCATTCAACTCTTCTTCACGGGGTTCAACCCTATCTTCCCCATCTTCCATGCACCGACCTTCCGTTCCAGTGATCGGAGTGAGCACAGTGAGCTCTTGCTGCTTTCCATATGCTCCATCGGAACGCTGTTCATGGGCTCTGATGGCACGACTTTACAGGCGGCGAAGATGTTTGAGACGGTGCATCAGCACATCGAAGGAGCTGTATGTTTGTTGCCAGGCTGGGCATTGGACGATGTTAACGATTGACTAGTGGGAACAAATCCTCAACAAGCCAATGACAGAACGAAAATCCTTCATCCAAGCTGGCTTGATCAGCCAAGTCTTTGCCTACCTTTCGGGTGTGAGTACCTCTTCTACAGGTGATTCTCCCAAAGCTGATGGTTATTCAGAATCCCAAATACGTGGCCCTCGTTAAGAACATGAATATGAAATTGATAGATGTGAGCAATCCGCCGACTCTGGTATGCGAGTTCCACTGACGGAGCTTAGCTTGCTCGGCGCTGTGAGCTTCTTGATAATGTTCGTTCTCTCCCGTTGCTAGAGAAGAGGACTACGCCGGAGCTCGATGGGGCTTGGGAATCTTGGGCCAGAGCTGAAGAAGTGTCGAGGCAAGTCGTTTGAACTCTATCCATCACAACCTTGTACTGATCTCAAAAGAACCGCTCTTGCTCTCTACATCTTAGATGCCCAATTCGCCAGCACATTCCACACTCCTCCCGTTCTCCAACACAACGAATCCCGGCTCCCGGTCGCCTCAAATGACGAGCTCTTCGCCGCCGCAACTCCAACTCGCTGGGCACACCTCGTCCGTCTCTCCCCAGAACCGAGCAGAATCACTTCTCATCTGCATATCAACCAGCCAGCCCACAACTGCACGACACCCCTCTCGAAGGAACTAACATGCAAGGACAGCCGGCTCTCTGCCTCCCTCATCCTGCACAGCATCTCCGCTTCAGTTCAAGACTCCAAGGCCGCCAACTCTCTCACACCGCAAGCTAAGCACGCCTACGAGGAGTCCCTCATCTGCTGGTACCACGCCTACGAGGAAACCCGCACCACGCAAGACGCCGACCCACTATGCCTCATGATCCTCTACCATGAGATCTTCATGACTCTTCTCGTCGACTTCCGCCAGCTCGAGGCCGCCATCGCCAACGAACCCAATCCGAACTCGGCGCAGGCAATCGAATACGCGCGCTCTTGGGCGACCAGCAAGGCTGCCAAGCGCTGCATCATCCACGCCTCGCTTATCCACCGCCAAGCAGAAGGCATCCGCTACGATGCCGAGCCTGCTCTCCACGTCCCGCGCAGCATGTTTATGGCAGCAAGAGCGTGGTATTGCTACATTCATTTCGACAGCTCGGACGTCGCGCCGCCGCCGCCGCTGATACTCGATAACGAGGTTGATCTGCCGGAGATCAAGATGTTCAACGTGGATCCGCTCCAGTATCTACCTGGAGCCAATGGGTATGGCACCGCCAAACCGGCGATGAGTGAGGCTGCCACGCTGGTGCGACTGACCGATCTACTGGAGCAGGTGGGCCATTGGGGTATTTCGAGACGGTTTGCGTTTATTCTGCGGGGGCTGATCTACGGGGAGCAGCATCAGCAACAGGGGGCTGATGGCTCAGGGTGATGGATGGAGGAAGCGGAAGTGGAAGTGGAAGTGGGCGATGATAGATTTGTGTAGGGGGGATTTTTTTCTTCTTCCTTTTTTTGGTAGATGGGCAGAATGGGGGTGCAGGGCGGGCAAGAGGGGTGTTTCAGCGAGGGTGATTGATTGAGGATTGCAGACCGAGGCAGCATAGTGGGAAGTGGGAAGTGGTTAGATAGACCGACCGTTGCTTTTCGCTCATACCTCGTTGAGCTCTCGCTCATATGCAGCACGATGATTTACTTTTTTTTTCTTTTCTTTTCTTTTCTTTTCTTTAATTCTTTCCCCCTTGGTTTATGAGTTCTGTTTGTTACCTACCTGGTTCTGATCTAAAATGCCACTCACTGGGTCGGTTGGTGGACCGTGTTGGTGGACCTTGGTGATGGTGGTGGTGGGTGGTGAGTAGATCTCCGCAACAAGTTCTTAGCTGTAGGTGTACTTATCTCCTCTGACTTGTGTGTGTGTGTGTGAGATGCCCTACACATCTGTCTATCTTGTCTATCTTGTCTATCTTGTCTATCTTGTCTATCTTGTCTATCTTGTCTATCTTGTCTATCTTGTCTATCTTGTCTATCTTGTCTATCTTGTCTATCTTGTCTATCTTGTCTATCTTGTCTATCTTGTCTATCTTGTTTATTCATAACCTACCTGCATGAATGAATGAATGAATGAATGCATGAATGCCACTTCTACGGGCATCTCTTCCCTCCCTCTCTCCCTCCCAAGTACTCTCTCTTCTTCGAATCCTAATCTCACTCATATACTCAATCTCAGTCTCATACTCATACTCACACCAACCCGCCCACACCACCCCACAAAAGAATAATTTCTATATGCTTCATACACCTCGCTACAATATTATAAAGTGGTGTGTGTAATGTTCAAAGAGTATCTTATTACAATTCTTACATACATATCTACAATACGCGTGCGGGCTTTTGGGCCCATCTAGGTACCTATCCATCCATCCATCATCCATCTAACCATTTGATGTGTCAATGCGTCAATGCGTCAATGTACCAATCCATCCATCCATCATCACCTATCCGTAGAGTCCCAATCCCCCTCTCTCCCTCTCTCCCGCCCCATCGTAAAAGTACCGCTGCTGTCAAATATGATATGACCAGAACCATGCCATGCCATCTCAATCCAAATCTCCTCCCACCTCGGAAAGATTTTCATCCACTCCCTAGTGATCAGAAAGGCTAGAAAAGCCAATCATTTCTTTTTCGCGA